CTGTGTGTCATTCCCTTCGTTTCCCCTTCATTCCCCCTTCATTTTTCTTGTTGCTTTCGCCTTCATTTCCCTTTCCCTCCGTTTCCCTTGCATTTCCCTGTGATTTCCTGTGCTTCCTGTCCTCTGCATTTCCCTTGCATGTCCCTTCATCTCCCCGTCTGTCCCCCTTCCACTCATGTACAGAGGGCTTCTCGACAACGCTTGCTACGAGATCCAGAACAAGGAATCAACTACTTCAAGAACAGCTGAAGAAGTACTTTCTGAAAGGCACGACCAACGTGTATCTTTCTTTATGGACTCCTCAGTTTCTTCAATCACAGTCACCACTCAGAGTCTGTCATTCTAATTTCCAAGTTTGAGATCTTGCTACGCATCACGGCAGACGCAAGTCAAAGAGTAGCCGCGCAGCCTCAGCAAGCGACTCAGGCTGGAGCGCCGCCCGGGATTCCTGGTCTCCCATGCAGGACACCCTTTTGCTACATTCGGAAAAAGGATGTCACCATGTTTCACCACGTTTCACCATGTCACCTTGGCCAACTTTGAAGCCTTCGAAAGTCGCGTCTGGGGAACCCTGGCAGTATCGCCTTTCATCAACGCATGGAGGCAAAGTCGGCCCGAGCTCAAAGTCGGCCCGAGCTGCACGCTCAGAACGATGAGCCAAGCCTTTTTTGATGACACCCCAGAGGTGTCAGTAGAGCACACTCGCTATCAGCGGGGTGGCTCACCCGCATCCAGACCATTTTTCGCAATGCCTTCGTCAAAAAACACAGCCAGATCCCAGCCTTGGCCTGCACAGTGAACACACAAGAGCTCTTGTTGGCGGAGGAGCGCAAGCTCTGGGCAGCCATATCTGACCTCCTCAGGCTGGATGCCTTGTACGAGCTGACGCATGTAAGAAACGATGCTACAGTTGCGCCCTAAAATATCCAAGCCAACCGTGCCAGCACACCCACGCCCGTCGACACCGAGGCAGAGGCGACCCAAGCGTGACCTCAAGCCAGCCGCAAGCCTTCACGCCCCACCAAGAAAGGCAAGAAGAAGTCCAAAGGAGCCTGCCACCGCCTAAGCCCACAGCAGAGTGGCGCAAAAGGTACCAGACAGGCCTTTGCACTAACGACCAGCGCCGTTTTGCCCAGTGTGCGCCATTCTGGGCTGCCAGCAAAAGCACCCTATCTTGGGCCGGCACAGGATCGAGCAGCCACACTGCGGCCGGCGCTGGCCCCACAACGGGCCCGAAACGCAGCCTTCACAGTTGCCCTCGCGACGCGTGCGACAACACATAGCCACATGGCGCAACACACCAACGAGCAGGTTAAAACAGAAGATTTTGTATACAATACAATTGCGATATGTCTAGTGGCAAAGCCCTGTCGATTCACAGGAGCTAGCACTGGATTGCAGTCTAGGCAACAGCAGTCAGTGCTTGCGCTTTGTGGTCGCACGGCTGAGCCAGCGGCTTAAGCAGCGCATCCAGGTGAGCGAATGTTGGGTATGGTTGAGCAAAAGAGTTTAGTGTTGCCGCGGGTTCTACGAAGCCCTTAGTCAGCCAATTTAAATGTTCAGCGGAAGCGCAAGGTTAAGCTTTGGCTGTCGGATAGTTTCTGAGTCGTCTGGGTTGCGGTTCTTTCTCGCCCTGTTTGTTGCGAACCTGCGACTTGAGCGCTATAACTTTGAAGCGGTTCAAGCGGGGGAGGCGTTGAGCGGGCTGGACTTCAAGCCCGGGCGCACCTTCGGAGACTATGCCCATCAGGTCTGGCACTGATGAAGGCACCTGGTCCGGCATGCCAAGGGCAAAACCGGAGCCAGGCAGGAGCGTGGCGTGGTAGCACACTGCTAAATGGCTGCGAACACAATGCAATGGCGGCAAGAGGAGTGCACAAACAATGTTGCAAGTCTGGGGCACGTGATGCCAGGGCTGCTGGAGGCGCGCAGCACGAGCCCGTCAAGCACGCCAACCCAGGGCAGCTGTTGCTTTGGCATGAGTGTGACACACATGCTGGACCAAGGCTGCGGCAGAATGTGCCTGAGTTAGCTAGCTGGCACCGAAGGTCAATGCGGGTATTAACCAACGCGCAAGACTGCTCTTTTTAGTCCTGTGAGCCTTGTGAAGTAAGGTCCACTGGTTCGTGAGCGTGGGTCGGCAATGCCGTCTGAAGGCGCGCAATGATGAATTAGGTCTTCAAGGCTGGACAAAACAGCATTCAAAAGGCTGATTGTTTTGGGAGCAGCGCAGGCGTGCAAAAGCAAGACTAAGGGCTCATGCCAGTGGTGCTGCATTGCAAAGTTCCTGAAGTTAGGATCGCAGCTGTCAGAAGGCCTCTGGCTGATTGGCGACCTGCAGCCCTCCAATTCAGGGCAGGGCTGAACGTCTGTGGGCGAAAGCGCCATCGCAACGTATTGAGCAAAAGGGCTATGGTGTCCATGCAAACTGTGGTAAGTGCAAAGGCAAGGCTGTTGCTGGGGCTCTGACCTGTTTGCGCTGACCTGGCGAGGGCGTCTTCACGTTGGTAGCTTAAAGGTTATCAAGCATGCGCAGCCAGTCTGTGCAGTTGGCACGCCGTTGTTTTTGGCAAAGTGCAGTGCCCCATCATGCGAGGGCGTAGCACGCAAAGGACACCCAGCGCTGTACAATCCCCACAAGGCACGACAATGCACGGATGCACTGCTCGACGGAGATCGCCAAGTCCAGGGGGCGTCGCCTTCTCCTCATCCTTGAGTCAGTCCCGCACCGCGGTCGTTGCCTCCAGGGGCACCTTCTGACGTGCGGTGAGCGTCAGACGCCGATCCCCTGCAAGGTCTCAAAATACTCCGAGTCGTTGGCCGGCATCGGTTTCACGGTGAAGAAAAGTCCTCGACTCTGCAGACGCCGAACGGTCGCCTCTGCGGAGAAGCCTTCGCTCAACGACGAGTCCCTAACCGTGAACGACACAGCCGGCGGGAAGCAGCTTGGCCGCCGCGCCCAGCTTCTCCCGGCGCTGACCTTTGCTCCCCCAAAAAAAAGGAGCGTTGCCGCGCGGGCGCAAAAAAAGAAAATGTGGCCTTCAGCTCCTTTTTCCAGCCCTCGGGCATGTGATGCCAGACGTGCTCACACACGCACGTCATGCCCTGCTTGAGGTTGGCCAGTTCCATGCGCCTTCATCCACTCGACCAGGCCGTTGCCGTAGGCGAGCAAGTTCGTCGCTTGCTTGATGTCCTTTGGGTGGAGTGGTGGCACGCTCTGCCGATCTGCTCGGTGGGCGCAAACGCCTCCAGCGGTCCTGGGGCGATGGAGCGGTCCAGCGCATACCCCAGCATGGCTTGGCAATGGCACGCCAGCGTGTCGCAATTTTGAGAGGTCCATGCCTGCAGAACGCAGCCCACCTGACCGCCCTGCGCATGCTGTAGACCGGGAAGCTGCCCATGGAGCCGATAAGCCGCAAGCAGAGGCCCAGCCTTTTTGCCAACTTGGATTCGTGGTAGCGGGCCGTTCGTCCAGCAACTCCAGGTGGTCCGCGAGAGTCAGGTTCCCCAGCGGCAACTGCCACGTGTCCGGCATGCTCCTTGACGAAGGGCAAGTTGATGCGAGGCGCCGTGAGAACCACGGTTGCCTGGTCCGAGGCCGACCCGGCTCCGCCGGCTCCGTTGGCTCCGCAACGTTCCTATCAGGACGCGTGAATCATACGAAAATCGTACGGAGCAAGACCCCCTTTCCGCCTGCCACCTTCGCCCCGGGACGCAGCCCGGCATCGACGCTTCCCTCCGGTTGCGTGGCTCATTGTCCTGGCACTAAGCGTCCCCCCTCAAGCTCGGACCATCACATGTGTATGACCGTACGATCCGTGCGGCTTGCGCCTTGGCGGCGCTAGTCCCTCCCCGGCACTTTCGAATTGTCTGAGCTTCAATCTGCGCCGGAAATGTCAAAACATCACCGGCAAAACTCAACAAAAACGCCCGCTGCCACTCTTCGTCGTTTTTGACGTCGTTTCGACGACAGGTGGCAGTGCCAAAAAACTGGCAACATCTTCACATTCTGTCGACGCCGGCGCTGGCCCAACCCGCTGAACATTGCCCCGGCTAGGGAGATTCGTATGACCGTATGACCGTATGATCCGTATGATTCGTATGATTCGTATGACTCGGCAAGCCTGGCATTGAAGCTCATACGAGTCATACGGATCATACGGATCATACGGTCATACGGTCATACGACCCTGGTCCGGCACTTCGGGAGTACCAACCAGGTAACCTGGAGAAACACGAGAAAACCAATATCAAGGGTCGTTGGTACTAAGGGCCGTTGGGCAAGTCAGTACTAAGGGCCGTTAGGCGAACCAGTACTAAGGGCCGTTGGGCAAGTCAGTACTAAGCGGCCGTTGGGCGAACCAGTACTAAGGGTTGTTGGGCGAACCGGTATTTCACACCAAACATTCGCAACTCTCAAAGTCAGTTTCTCCACTTTCGCAGTGGGTCTCCACTTTCGCAGTGGGCTTCTCTCCACTTTCACAGTGGGCTTGCTCCACTTTCACAGTGCTTCTCTCCACTCTCACAGTGGGCAAAAAAAAAAGAAGCCCGTCCCCCAGTGATCTCGCCGACGACTCCGATGCCGCGCTACAGGCCACAATCAAGGATGACCTAGAACCTGGAAACCTCGTGATAAAAACGACATCAAAAGGGTCAGAAAAAAACCACGTCGTAGTCCCCCTCGTTTCGATGCGAGACACCCCAAACATTGTTTCTTTCCCGGCATCAGCATGTTTTCCGCACCTCTCGCATGATACGTCAAGGAGCTACCCAGCAACCTACCTGCCAGCCGGGGAGAAGGACACAGGTCATCACAGCCCTACAACGGAAAGATGTTCAGGAGAACCTGGCCAGATAAGGGAAACAGTTTAGCGCGTGGCAAATCCGTCGGTGCTGCAACTCTCTGTGAAACAAACCCACACCGCACCTCACGAGAGACCTGAGCGTGTGGGCCAATCCGGATGATTTGCAACAGAATGTCAAGTCCCAACCTGCCGGAGCTACGTCTTGGCCTTCTTCCGACCTTTGACGGCCTGATCCGCGTCCTTCTGGGCCACGCGGAGCTCCAGCTGGGCGTACAGCACTGCGCCGTTATCGCAGGTGCCGGACACCCGCTGGAGCTCCGCGCGAAAGGACTCCACCTTCGCCTCCAGCTCCAGGCCCTTCTTCTCCTCGGCCTCCAGGAGCGCCTGCAAGCGCCCCCGCTCCTTCGCCTGTTACGGGGTGATGAATGAAGCCATGCAGGAAAAAGAAGGAGCGCCTCCTTGATCCTCTCATCCGTCAGCTTCTTGTGCTTCTCCTGCCGCCTCTCCCAGGCAGCATCCCTCCTGCAACGGACAAACGTCATAAAACCACACTCCAGCCAACGACAGTCTCCGAGGACCGCAGCCACCACCCTCCGCCTGCCAACGGGCACCAACATGAGCGCACAGAGGATCGCATGATTGCGCCTTGGCCCCAATCCTCACCAAACCAACCTGGCAACGAGTCGCCGCACCAACATGAGCGCACAGAGGGTCGCGTGATCGCGCCTTGGCTCCGATCCTCACCAAACCAACCTGGCAACGAGCAACTTTCGACGGAACGGCGAAACTCCCCGCTGGCGCGGGCCTGGTGCGGGCCTGGTGCGGGCCTGGTGCGGGCTCCAAGACCGAAGCCGCGGAGCCGGCCTCGCTCCAAGACCGAAGCCGCGGAGCCGGCCTCGCTTTCCGGACTGTGTCGCGGGGTGACACGTACTTGCGCAAACTTTGCCCCAACGCCTTCTCTTCAGACCTCGTCCAATCCGACCAAGCCCGAAGAGCAGGAAGCCGGCACACCTTGAGAGTTTTCCGAAGCTTTTTCCAGGGCCGACTTTGCGCAACGACTCCTAAGGAAAACATGTTTGAAGGACCTGTCACCGGCAACATCCCGGAGGTCCTGGACAACGGAGAGGTCACTGACGGCACGCACGTCACCGCAGGGCAGCTGGCCCTCGCTCTGACGCCCTACGCACAAGTAACAGACCTGGCGGTCCGGCAACAACGCGGCCGCCATCCAGTCGCTGGACGACCGGGTCACCGCAGAGCTGGCCTCAAAGCTGGACAGCAGCGCGCTGGCGCCGGCAATTGCGCCCCTGGCCACGGCAGCGGCCCTGGCCACCACGGACGGACAGGTGGCCGCGCACGGCAGCAGCATCGCCGCGCTGCAGAGCTCGCTGACCAAGCTGCACTTCGCAGCCTTCGGAGGCTCGATCCCCGGCTGGTGCCACGCTGGACCTGTACAGCATGCAGATCAGGCCCAGCGCCTTCGAGGGAGAGTCGGTCTCCGTGACGGACCTGCTGGCCGACTCGACCGACGTGTTCACCACGAGCGTGGACGCCTCGGGCGCCATTTCCTGCGCAGCGCTCACAGCCACCGGCGCCGTCGCCGGAGCCGCGCTGACGTCCACCGGCGCCGTGTCGGGCAGCTCGCTGAGCATCACGGGGCGGCCAGCGTGGGCCTGCTGAGCTCCGCCGCCGGAATCACCGGCAGCACTCTCACCATCAACAACACGGCCAACGCCGGGAACTTCACCACGGCGGGCGACGTGTCCACGGGCAGCTGACGGCCTCGGGCGCAGCGACGGCGGCGAGCTTCGCAGCCACCGGGGCGCTCACGGGCGCCACGCTGACCATCACCGGGGCGGCCTCCACGGGCCCGCTGGGCTGCAAGAGCCTGGACTGCACCTTCACGGCCACGAGCGGCGGAGTGTCGACGGGCAGCGTGGTGTGCGGCGACGTGACGAGCTCGGGCACGGTCTCCGCGCCGCAGCTCTTCGCGTCCAACACGCTCACCGTGACCAACACCTCCGACTTCTCGGACGATCTCTTCCTGACGAAGAACTGGGCGGGCTGGAGCAAGCTGCAAGTGTCCAACAACAGCGCGGCCCCCGACAGCGGCCCGGAGCTGCGGCTGCTGGGCAACCAGAGCGCGCGGGTCTTCCTGGAGAGGGACGGCGGGGCGCACCAGTGCGAGCTCATCATGATCAACGACGAGGCGCTGGTGCAGACGAAGAGCCTCTCCACGCAGCTGTCCCTGACCACGAACCAGACGGAACCCCGGCTGCCTCGTGATCGCGGGCAACACGGGCAACGTGGTCTGCAACACGAGCTTCACGAATTTGTCGGACAGCCGGGTGAAGACGGAGTGGCGGAGGCCGACGTGGCGGAGCTCCAGCAGCTCTTTGACTCCGTGGAGGCCAAGCAGTACAAGCGCCCGGACATGAACGAGGACCTGAGGCTGGGCTTCGCCTCAAACGACTTCGCAGGAACAAAGTGGAAGAATTTGACGGGCACCGCCCGGTGGAGCGACGGCACGGAGATGGTCACCCTCGACTACTCGCACCTCACCAGCGTGCTCTGGGGGGTGCGCAAGGGCTTCCAGGCCCGGCTGGACGAGGTGGAAGCCTGGCAGGCCCAGCGGGGGCCGAAGAACAAATAGAAAAAAACGGTGCGCAGGGCTCCCTGCGTCCAGGGAACCTTGCTCAAGCTCCTTTTTGGGGCAACAAAGTTGTTTTTTAAAATGGAGGCGCTGAGGGACCTGGCCGACAACTTCAACGTGCGGGACCCGCGGAAGCTGTACCGACTTGCAAGGCAGCGTGACCTCGACGTGACGCAGGCCATGGCCGACGTGGGCCGGCAGGTGCAGGCGCCCCGGCCGCGCGTGCTGGGCAAGTCGGCCGCCGAGGGGCCGAACGACCGGCTGCAGGCCGACCTCATCGACTTCAGCCAGAACACCTGGCGATGGACGTCTTCACCCGGGAGGCCGCCGTGGAACCCCTGCAGAACAAGAACGCCGAGACGGTCGGCCGGGCCACCAAGCGCGCCGCGCGGGAGCTGACGGGGGACGACAAGAACTTTGTGGTCACGACAGACCTGGGCAACGAGTTTGCCACGCTGGACCGGGAGCTGCCCGAAGCCGTGCACCGCACGAAGCGGCCCGAGGACCGCAACGCCACGGCCGTGGTGGACCGGGGCATCCAGACGCTGAAGAAGGACCTGGCCACGAGGGTGGCGCGCAAGGGCGGGCAGTGGGGCGACCACTTTGAGCGGGCGGCCGGCCCCGGCCGCACGAGACGGTGTACGGCGCGCCCGAGGACGTGGAGAAGCAGCCGGCCACAGAGTTCAGGGTCCTCCAAGACAACGCCGACAAGTTCCAGCACAACAAGGACCTCACAGACCGGCGCGTGAAGGTGGTGGAGGACGCGGGCGCCTTCCGAGCGCCGGCGAACGCGGCGAGGAGCTTCAACCCGCAGTACGTGGACTCCATGACCGTCCGGAGCACGGAGGGCCGCGAGACCCTGCTGAAGCTGGCGCTGCCGGCGCCGCAGGGCAGCGGCAACGCGGCGGGCCGACTGACGAGACGGGGCAGGCCGGCGGCTGTGAGGCAGCTGGACGACTTCCTGGCGCCTCCGAGGCCCAGGACCCTCGACTAGCCTTCTTGAAACTGTGTTTGTAGGCATTCAGGCCTCCCTGCGTCCAGGGAACCTCGGTCGGACCCGTTTTGGCGCAAAAAAATGTTTGATCACGCTGAGGCGGAATTGACTGATCCTGAGCAAGCCCCTTTTCGGGAAAGAAAACAGTTTTGAGACATTGCGCGGGCTGGGGGGGAATTCCCGGGGAAAAAAACAGCTTTGAGGCGTTCTTCAAGGTGAGGGGGAATTCCGGAGCCTGAGAAAAAAGCTCTTTTTTGGGTTAGGGTTTGGGGCGCTCGGGAAAACAACGGGTTGTGCGAACCAGTATCAAACGAGCGGGGCTGGCATGGGCAAACCGTGCAAACCGTGCAAAACGAGCTATTCCTCCAGTCCGTACATACATGTACACCCTGTAAGAATAGCATTTTGTGGCCCAAAACCGTGCAAATGTCCCTTTAGGGTTTGGGGCGCTCGTTGCCAAACGACGCAATCACGATCTTTTTTCTCTGCGCCACGTGTTCGCCTGAAAAAGCTACGCTGCAGGCTCGTCCGCCTTGCGCTTCTTGCCGCGGGCAAGCGAGGCGATCCTCGCTTGCACTTCGGCCAACAAATTAGTGAGGCAAAATATGCCTGTGCTCACCGAGACGCGGAGAAGGCAAGGGCCGAAAAATTGTTTGTAATGAGACTCCATGAACTTGTGAAACTTTCGCAGTTCCTGCCGGATGACCCGGAGATCCTCGACATGTAGGTCAACACTGCTTATGGCGCTGCCCAAGCGCCGAAATAATCTGTACATCTCGATATTGCCCGGCGTTTGCTCTGTGGCCAGCGTGTGCCAGAGACTCTGGATGGCGCGACAGGAGCGGGCTCAGGCGCCTCGAAGGGGGAATGTGAGTCAGCTTTGGAGTTGTGTGTGTTGTCGTCTGCTTTTTTTTTCGGGGGGACGGGGGGTCAGCTTCCGGGGGTGTGAAGGGGGATGGGGGCGAGTCAGCTTTGGGGTTGTGAAACTGTTGCTGTTGTTGTCTGCTTTCTTTTTTTGGGGCGAGTCAGCTTCCGGGTTGTGTGTGTTGTCTTCTGCGGGGGTGGAGGCGAGTCAGCTTTGGAGTTGTGTGTGACGTTGTCTTCTTCTTTTGGGGGGAACGGTGTGAAAAATTGGAAGCTGACTGACGCCACTTGACGACAATGTCAAGTGTACCTTGAATTTCTGAGAAATCTACCATGTGTAACTTTTGTGCGTCGTAAAAGGAGAAAACATCATCATTGCCATAATGTCGAATGTTTTCTTTAAACCCACAAACTACAAACTTTCCCTGGTTGATCCTGCCAGTAGTCATATATGCTTGTCTCAAAGACGGTCATCAACACTTGGCCACATCCAGTGTGGACACGATGGTCGACTTGGCATGTGTACAATTTCTTTTACCGCCTGCAGCCACTCTTTGCGCCGACGATGTCTGCCCCTGCGGGCGCTTTGACTGCGCGCGAGCGCCTGCTCGCCGCCGTGAGCGCGGCTGACGCACTGCCGAGAGGCACCACCTTTGAGAAGGTGAAGGGGGCCAGGGATCGGCTCCGGTGGGAACTCTCCTCCATGCAGCGCATGGACGGAGACGAGCTGGTGAAAAGCGCAACGGCCTGCGCGCACCGGCTCAACCAACGCCTGAGCCAGATGAGGAAGCTCGGCATGGATGCCACGACTGAGCCCGCTCCTGCCAAGGCGCCCATCAAAAGTGAGCCCGCTCCTGCCGAAGCTGAGTCGCCTCCATTCCCCGCAGAAGAAGACAACAACATCACACACAACTCCAAAGCTGACTCACATCATTCCCCCTTCACAGCCCCGGAAGCTGACTCGCCCCCCGTCCCCCAAAAAAAAAGCAGACGACAACACACACAACTCCAAAGCTGACTCACATTCCCCCTTCGCCCCCCCGGAAGCTGACTCGCCTCCATTCCCCGCAGAAGAAGACAACAACATCACACACAACTCCAAAGCT